CTGTTATTACTTCGTTCAGTTACACGTATTTATGTGACGTCATGGCCTTGTCGAGAACTATAAAAGGACCGTGCTTGTTCTTTGTGAGTAACTTTATATGTAACTCATGGAAATGAAATTCGTGAAACTCATTCTGCTGCACTAAAAAAATAGAGCCCTCCCCGGCGGGGAATCGAACCCCGGTCTCCCGCGTGACAGGCGGGGATACTGACCACTATACTACCGAGGACAAAGGCGCTTGCCGAAACCCGGGATCGAACCAGGGACCTTTAGATCTTCAGTCTAACGCTCTCCCATCTGAGCTATTTCGGCACATATTTACTCTCACAGATAAGCTTCAGCCGCTTTAATCCCGTATGTGCAGGATCGTTATTGAGGGACATGATGAAAGGAAGACGGATCTCCCCATAACTTTTCACATTCTGATACCTTAGTACAGGCAAATGAAAACCAAAACACGATACGTCTGATCTCTCTGGCTTTCTATTTTTTAATAACAAGTGGGATGATGATGATTTGATTTTTAGGAAATTTTTATGTGATAATGCATTATATATTATTGCTTGCTTGTTCATTTAACAATTTCTTAAAAGTAATGTCTGCGAAAAAACAGATAATTTATTAAAATCCAGACATTAAGAACGTTATAAAATATGGTTAGTTCTTGAATATATGTACTTTTATGCTAACATGGAATTCCAATTCCCGTTAATGTTAGTCTTAGATTGGGAAAAGATTTTAGATGGTTAATTTGGATGACAGGCAGAGTCAGGCTGGATCTCTACCTTGGCAAAAGAACTCTGCGATTATTTTGGCGACAAATCGAAGATTCCCAAGTCGCGATTTATTTCTATATATCTCTTTATTGGCCGAGATGCGGAATTTTCCAGATGAGTCAATGTGACGTCACGGCCTTGTCGGGAGAAATATAAAGGACCGTGCTTGGTTTTGAATTTGAGTAACTTTATATGTAAACTCATGGAAGAAATTCGTGAAACTCATTCTGCTGCACTAAAAATATTGCCCTCCCCGGCCGATCGAAGTCTCCCGCGTGACGGGCGGGGATACTGACCACTATACTACCGAGGACAACGCGAAAAACCCGGGATCGAACCAGGGACCTTTAGATCTTCAGTCTAACGCTCTGTCATTTGAGCTATTTCGGCACTTATTCGCACTCACAGATAAGCTTTATCCGCTTTAATAACTTATGTGCATGTTCGTTATTGAGAAAAAGACTGGACTTCAAGGAAAAAAAAAAGACCTGGAGATACAATGAAAATGGACTGCATTTTAATACAACAAAAGAATTTTTTTTACATTATAAGAATGTATTTTGTACAAATCTATAGTTTTGGTCGATATTTAGGAAATTTGGCACACATGCTCTTCAAAAAAAATGATGAAAAGAATTGTCAACTTTTTCAAGTCTAAAAAGTAAATTAAAATTTCAGTTGCTTAAAAATTATGCAAGATGTTGACGTTTTTTCGCAATATTTTCCAAAAAATATTATCTAACAAAATTATTTTTGAATTATTTATAATTCAAAAACATCGTTTTAGTGAAACCAATTTAATTATAAATTACTGAAACATTTCCAGTACAAATTATTAAACTAAATCATCTAAAGAAGTTTGTTTTAAAAGTTCCTGGCTCTTTGAACATATGTCCTACTAATGGGCAGCATTTCTCCTTCATACTTAGCCGCTAAAACCATATACGAAATATTTTTCTTCCATAATTTAAAATCAAATAACTTTAGTAATAATTTCGTTATTTTAAACGTAGAAAATTAAGGGCTGTTAAAAGGGAATTATTTTATAGACGCAGAAAAATTGAATATATAATAAAAAATTAAATATATAATTAAATATTATAGATTTAAATTAATATAATTAATTATAAAGTAAATATACAATTATATATATAATGAATTAATGTTATGATTTTAGATATGTGTGGGCCCTCACCGACTCCTGGCAACCAGTATTTTCAGACCCAGTCCACCACTGATATCGACAACATTTAAAATTAGGCTTCAAGAAAATCAAATACTCAAGGAAAATGGAAAACCTTAGAAGTCTTCTAAAAAATGTTATGCGATTTCCTTTGTCGAATTCTTGTGTCAGTACAGCTTCGCAGAATGGAATTCGACAAAATTAGTCAATATTAATGAGAAAAAATAACCAATAAAATAATCTTACATTAGTACTTTACATAAAAACTAGTTGAACAAATTCATTACATTAATTTTCTTAGGCAGATTTATACTTGGGATAAAATATTTGCAGACAAAAACAGAATCTTGAATATATGTTAAGATGTCCTGTTATTAAAGAAAATATTCATCATATAATAATAAAAAAGAATTCCAAAATTCTATTCTTTCATGGAATCAGTGACTTTCATTTTTAATTCCCTATTTCTAAGTGCCAATCGTTTTATTATTTGAAAAACTAGCCAAATCTTTTCAATTAAGATATCGAAATCACAACTGCAGAGAACTGCTCTTCCATATCTCAATGCAAATTCCACTCATTCTTTGGCAAAATTAATTCTTTAAATAAATCTGGAAACCAAAGGCAGATTAACACTAAACGCAAGGTTTTGAGTCAGTGAAAGGAACTAAATAGGTTTAAACAAATCATGCAGATTTTATGTGCTGCTTGTAAACTGTACCACTGTGTTTCTTTGTGATATTATATGAACACAACCACAATAAATGTGTGATCCACATCAAATAGCTGAAGTACAGTCGAAATTCAGTTCTGAAGGGCCCAAAACATGCCCCAAAAGAAAAAAAAGTCTCAATTATAAGTTATAGATCTTGCATATAGTGCACCATTTAAATTTGTTCAACCTAAATCATGAATTATGTAGATTAGAGAAAGACTGTCACTTAATACTCAAAAGCTATAGACGCTTTCTTTCCGAAAAATGCAATGTTACTTTCGGGGGGGGGGGGGTGTTTTAATTAAAAATACCACAAGAAACTTCAAATGAAATTTAAGAACATTTACTATAGAAATATTTTATTTTTAACACAAACAACTTGGAAACACAACTGAAAAAAATATTCTAAAGATTAAGTGCTTTAGTGATCAGGAAATCCAGGCATTGGAAAAGTTGAGGCAAAAGCTTCCACATCCTTACGCAACAATCTCATCTGCTCTTTTACTGCTTCATCTGTTTCTAAAAAGGCTTTGAATTCTTTAACTGTTTTACCTGTAGCAGAAATGAGAAAATTTTGTTGGAATATCTTATAATGCATTGCAAATTTCATTACTTAGGAGAGAGAATTTATAAATACCTGCTTTTGATTTCACTCCTAAAGCAATTTCTACAGCTCGATGAATAAACTCAACAACTTGTTCAAAGTCTTTTTCCTTAAAGTTGCGAGATGTAAGAGCAGGAGCACCTAAAAAGAAAATAAATAAATAAAATCCTCCATCTATGAGGGTTATATTACATCAAATTCTAAGTAAGTTATCTATTGTATATTTTTCAAAAAATTAAAAAATTTTTGAAAAAATATACAATATATAAGGTTTCTATCTTGTATACATCAGATGAGATATTCTCATACTGAAGATTCTGTACAAGTTTTTTTTTCCCCTCCAGAAACCATAAAATATCATTTCTCCTTTCCAGCCAAAACAGACATTAAACAAATACTTTATTAAATAAAACCTGCAAGACATTTTTTAGTCAAGTGTTTTTATATTTACTAGAACAAAATTCATTTCACTAATTTAAATTAGTTATAAATGGTATAAAGTTGAAGCCAAAAGTTTAATTTTGTTACTGTCACAATATCAATGGGAAAGAATAGTAAGGTAATAAGCAATTGCATCATACTTTAAAAATTGAATATATTTTATTAATATGATCAAGTTGAAAATTTTGATTTAATTTTATATTATTCTTGAAAAAGAATTCTTACCATATCCATAAAACCTGGATATGAAGAAAATTCTACAAAACTTACCTAGCCTTACTCCACCAGGAACTAATGCCGATTTATCCCCAGGACATGTATTTTTATTGGCAGTTATATTTGTTGCATTCATAACACATTCCAATCGAGCACCATCAAGACCCTTAGGTCTGAGATCCAGTAACAGCAAATGATTATCTGTTCCACCTAGAATAAAAGTAAACATGTATTATGTTCTTTATAAATATTTCTATGCCAGTTTACTGATGTGTAAATTTCATTAGCAACATGGAAACTTCATCTTAATTTTTTTTTCTATTTATGTGAAGATAAAATGCATTAACAGGTAAAATGAAAATACACATAGTACTTCACACAAGCAGAAATTTAAGAAAGTATAAATGTCTCATTCTGTAAAAATATCCCACATTTTTAAGACACGTTCTTTACATTTTGAATCATACAAGAGAAAGTTGAAGCACAGAACATTATAAATAAAATAATCTATGAATAAAAAATGCAGCAAAAGGTTTTTTACAGTTTTTCTAATATAAAAATTCTTTTAAATTTTCAAAACAATACCCTCAAAATCGTTTAATATATATTCACTGCATCAGAAATGACAATATCACAGAATACACTTTAGTCCATGTAACTTTTAAGTATGACAAATCTTTGTGGAATTTTTCTATATATAAATCGAACTTCATGTCACAAGCTCAAATTCAACAAATTTTGATATCAGTCTGGATATATAGCAATGAAATGATGCCCTTTATAATAAATTAAGCCCAATCTGAGCCAGGATAAAGATTTACTTGTCATTGTTGAAGTGTCACATCAGAATAACTAGTTATGACACCATTAGAAAAAAGTATACAGATATGCAAACATATAAGGAATAGCATTTCTTAGCAAGATGTACATACAATAATATCCTTCACTAAACATATGGTAGTAATTTAAAGCAGTAAGTAGCAATTCCTATTCAATCAACTATATTCAGGCATTCCCACAAATTATGTTTAATTATGTGAATTAGCATGTAATGTAAAATCTTTTTCCACTATGTATTGCAAACTCAAGTTTTCTTAATTTGATATGTGCCTTAAATTTATTTCATGGGAACACAGGTTATAAGTGGTATCGAACATTCCAATACTTTTCCTTAAACATTAGAAGTGTCGATTCTCTTCCTTTTGATTACAACAGTTGCAATGGCCAAACAAGTCTTGCCGAACCCTCAAGACTGGTACAGTATTTTATAGGCATATGTGTTAAGTTTTAAACAGTGGTAGGATACATTTGAATTGTAGAAAATGTTTAGAATAAAGCAAGTTTCCTAAGACAATTATGATTAAACAAATGATTCAAGTACAAACTTGAAGCTTTAAATTTTCCCAAACATTATCAAGTATTAATTTGGGTTCATTTCAGCTACAGAAGAACCTTGGTAAGAGCCACAGAGAAAGAGTACCAGAGGTCTCACTCGGGAGTTTGGTTAACTATCGCAGCGCCACCTAAGCCTTACAATCGAACTACAAACCACAGAGAAACCATAAGACGACGCCATATTGGTTTCCATCACAGAGCTGTGTAGAATCTTTCTACTTCTCAAATCATAACACGACGCCATTATTGTATCGAACGAGAACTAACCGAAACGCCGCCATGTTGTGTTGATGCTTGTCAATTTCACATACTATTTTTTATAATCAGGAGTTTTTTTTCAGGATTAGATACTTTATGTAGAATCAAGACTTGGGACTATTCCAGTTTAGTGAAGGTTATTGACAGCTTCCTCATTCAAGATTCCTGGAGATGAGAATGGTAAGTTTAAAATGCGTTACAGAATTTTTATGCGATGTTATTTAAATAACTGAAAAACTTCTAATATTTAAAATACTTATTTTCACTTTTTGTATATAAAATAATAAAATTTTGTTTTATTTTTGTGCAGTTGCTGAAGCATATTAAAATGCCTACCATAAGGAATAATCTGAGAAAAATGTGCATGAATTCTTTAAATTCTTTGTAGTCCTTTTTTTTTGACAGATTTATTTCTACATAGTATGACTTGGTAATTAAAATAATTTTAAGAGATATTAATGGAATCCTTGCTTATTACTCTCAGAAAAACTTATTATAATTATTGCTATGATGTATTGTGAACTGTCAAAGTAATTTACAAGTCAAAATTCTTTTATCAGTAATTTAATATTGAAATA